GTCGCGCGCGAGAAACGCGCGAGAATCTTTCGAAGTTGTCGAACGTTACGAGAATCGATGTAGAGTATTTAGAGGAAACGAAATGTAAGAAGTTGCGTCTCGGTTTGTCGTTTGAAAGGTGAATCCGGTAAAGATCGGAACCGCGGACGAAACATTGAATGAATCGCGCATGGAAGAAATGTGTGAGAAGACTCAGGATTGTCCGAGATCGCGAGAATCGATACCAGAGTATTGAGGAAAGAGTTTACGATTAAAATCGTCTCGGTCGAGTCGTATTTTATTTCTCGAAACGCAAATTTCTACAAGTTGAAACTCGTAAAAATTGGTGAACGAAAAATTCGATGTGGCGAACGCTTGAAAAAGTTTGAAGTTGCTGAAGATCTCGAGAGAACCAATATATAATGGTATTAGAAAGGAATACGAATTACGTCTCGTTACTATTTTTCGAAATGTGAATGGACAAAAATGGAGATTGTGATGGGAAGATTCGGTGAAATTCGCGCGAAGAACGTGTGAAAAGGTTTAAAGTTGTGGACGATCGTGAGGGTGGAGAAATGCGTCCGGATGGGAAGAATCAACAAAGCTTCGATAAACTTCTCGGTTCGTTAAGTTTCGGTAAAAACGTGAATCCTCTTCGATCGATGACGTTCAGTGACGAAATTTGTTTAGATCGCTGGTCGTTGAATCTTTCTGCTGGGTGCCAGGTGGAGGCTCGTTCTCGCGTGAGCAACGTAGACGCGTTTAACATCGTTTGTAGGTTGTTTCGCGATCGCTGTTACATAAAAATCTCGAGACTGGTGGTCCCGACAGAGGCTGGCGGCAGAGTCGGGATTTATGCGTGCCGCGTACTCCAGCGACCGGTAATAACACGCGTTTACGAGAACGAAATCCGCGTTAAAAATAAGAGTAAAAATCAATTTTAATCGTAGCGTGGAAGAGATCGGATCGTGAAATAGTTTGAGAAAATTTTTGTCGATGTCGTGTTGGGAACGAAACAGTCGCGGCCATGTTTATTTTTTAATGTATTTATTTACCTGTTACCTGTCGAGTTCGATGGAGACACACGCGAGCGAAATTGCCTCTCGCGGTGGAAGTTGCCGAAGAGACCTGCGAAGATGGATATCGAGAAATAAATTTATTATAGCAAAGATTTGATGTTGAGCCTCGTTTTATTTTCTTAGGCGGTTTCCATCTTGGTTGCTTTCTCCACTCAGGTATCTATATTTATACCACCGGTTAAAAGTATTAGGACATTTATTGATATTTTGTACAGATTCAATGCTTTTCGCTGCTTTTGTGTCATCACTTATTTTATTATATAAATTTATTATTTTTCTTTAATATTTAATAAATTTATTATTTTTCTTTAAATTATATAAATTTATTATTTTTCTTTAATCAGAGCGGTAAATTCCTTACAGCGATGTACGTCAATGTTCTGACAACGTAGATTTTCTCATGTATTTCAACTTTCAACACTATCGTGCCTTTAGTTTCGCAATCGATTAAATTATAATATTATAACTTTATTCTCCGCAGCGATATATTTTCACGATTCGAAAGAATACAATAAATTTTGTATAACGATAAATGCAAAGTGTTATTTTATGGAAAATTACAGTGAATTAATTTACGCTCTTGGTACATTCTACGTGCATTATAATCCAAAATACTAAATAAATTATAACTCATTAGAGTTTTCCAGTAAATGTAAATGATCAACTGTTTCTGTACGTATGTCCGGCGATGTAACTGCTGTACTTAAACACATAATCAGTCGCTAGGCATAGTGATTTTTTAATATACCAAACAATAAATCGTTAAAATTTTGTATCTCTTTGAAGCATACATTTGTAATAAATACGTCTTCGTATTCGTTTCAAATGTAGCCAATATGGTCATAATAGTTACGTCTAATTACACTGCTCATGATATTTTTCAAGACATTTTATACAATAATATATTATTATATAAAAATAATATATTAATAAAAGATTTCTGTCGTGACCTACTGTATAAAGTACGCTACCGATTCAGTAGCCATTTTTGATACAACGCGAAAGCAAAAATACCAAGTACCGTTCGCGAATAAAAGATTTTCGCCTGCCGATTTTTCCGGTTTAACGGAATAACGTTTTGACGATATCGTGTCACGTGCTTTTCGATTGGAACGCGTCTCGTTCCACAAGTAAACGTTGTCATCCGTTCAAGAAGTATTTTCATAATCGCGTTAGTAATGGTACATTATACAATTTCATTATACGATTCGTTACAGATCAAACGACGAAAGCCAAAGGACCGCCGCGATGGCTGGAGCCGGACCAAGTCCTTCCGGTTCAAGGACGCGTCGGCGAAGACATCGTCGTGGAACCGAAATTACGGTGGTCCGACGTTTTCGACGAACTACGATTCGAACTGTAAGTTTAATTTCGTGCTCCATAACGTTTGGTATATTTTCTTTCAGTGTCTTCGAACTTTGTAACATAGATATTCTAATTATAAGATTTCGTTAACCTTGTGACGAATTTCGATAGTTTGGTAATAACCAAACATCTTTGGTTCGTTAAGATCACACTGCAAACGTTTATGCAATTAAGGTTAAAAATAAGTCGGCGCGGAGGGCAGCCCGTCATAAATCTGGCAATCCCCGGTGAAAAGCCGACTCTCACCCTAAAAACAGGGATACATCCTTGCAGGCAGCAGCTCAGCAAGTCGCAGTGTGTTTTGGTTGCAGACACTTGCACGGTTGGACGAAACAATTTTTCTTGTTTATCGCAAAGTGCCTGCTTTCCCTGTGCTTTGAATATTTTTCGTTCAAAGTGAAAGAAAAAAAAAAAAAAAAAAAAAAAAAAAAAAAAAAAAAATGGAACTTAAGGTAGAGATTTCTTTCTATTGAATTTTGTCTATTAAACCTCGTAACGAGTACTTTACTTTCAATACTTGAATTCTTTACGACACAATCTCATTTTGCAGATGTTTCGTTTGTCGATGTTTCAAGGAAAAGTTTTAGCATAATATCAGAATGAAAAATCACGATACAGATCAATAACGATTCCTCTTCTGGTTTAAGAAATATTCTAACAATATTCTATTCAAAATTCTAGAAGGGGTGCATTTCTTAAAAATTCATAAAAATTTTTAGTCTAGATATGATCCTTAATTTTACTATACAAACTATATCTATTTATATAATGTTATTTACTATCATTAAAAATTTGTTAATTATATTTTTGGTGCAATTCCATGCGTTTTATTATTTATTTCAATACATTTACGATAGTAAAATTATGTAATAAGGATAATTATAGCGTGAAAATGAAATGAACGGAATAGCTGTTGCGATGGGAAATCAGAAACGCGGGTTGAAGCAACTGATAACAACTCGAAAGTTCACGACCCCTGGGCGTTGTTTCGTCCCGTACTATAATGATCGAGCATCGTCGTTTACCCGTTATCGTTCATTCTCGACTATTGGCCCTAATTTCGGGTGGAAACCTTGAAACGTGCCAAGGATCAAACGCAGTTTATTTCGAGCTGTCGCGCACTTAATTTTCGCGGAGGACCAAATTACACCGACGTCTCGTGTAATTTCGTTGCGCGAATTTTCGCATATAATTCTCGCGTAAATTTTTCAATGCCAGGGACGTAATTGATCGGACGTAATTTTTCCCAATTTTTCCAAGCGATGTCAAACGAAAGAGAAAAATATTATTTTTCTCCGATACCTTCAACTAAGAAAAAAAAAAACGAGAACCAAGAAATACAAATTGATTATAGACAATTTTTCCTCCGATCCTTTCGAATGAAACTAAAAAGAAGAAAATAAAATATATAGCTGATCGCGGACAATTTTTCTCCAATTTCCCTAAGCGAAGCTTCAGTAAAAAAAAAAGGGAAAAATATATACTCGATGACAGATAATTACTTCCAATTTTTCTATGTGTAACTGAAAGACAGGGAAAGAAAACTACACTAGAGTAATACGTAATTTAATGATTAACACTTGCAAAAGTACATTCGATAATCTTGAACCAAGTACGAAAATGAAAAATGTTCAAAATATAAGAATATAGAAACGTGTTATTTAAATGAGTGACTAGGTATAAAAATAAATTGTAACTGCGAATAAACACGGACCAAAATCTTCAAATACTCAACATCAATAATTTTCATAATGAATAACACGATGTAAAAGTTTCGTATGGTAGCATAATCGATGTTCTTTATCAGTGGCAGTTAGCTTTAGTGAGAATGTTTTTGGTTTCGCTGAATTTCAGGTAGTCTTTTTGGTAATGAGTAATATATCAAGCTGCCTAGGAAGGTGAAAGATTCGGTGCATAACCATCGAACGCTTATTTCGGGAACGCAAGACGTGACCTCATCTAGCCTCGCCGCTTAAATAAGACAAGGGTGACGGATCGATGGTAGTAATTGTTGTCTTTTTCAGGACGATTCGTCATCCGACTCACTTCACCTGTACTTGCCGAATCCTTCTCCTCGAATACATGCGTCGACACGTTTTGTCGAAGAAAAGTTACCACATAACGTGCCATTATCAGGCAGTGTACCATATTGCTATACGTGTATTAGTATGGCGACAATGTACAGTATTATATTTTATCTATTGTACGAAAGCTCCTTTTTTTATCGAAATTATTTTCCTCTAAGCCATCGCTACGGTTTCAGAAATAGATTTTCAGGCGAAACCTTGACCTCGATACAGGCTAATTTCTTAACACTATGTAAAGAATAGAAGGGACAAGTACGATACGTGGTACAGGACAAAATTGTTTCGATAATACGAATTGGAAATCAGACGTTTAAAATTACTATTAATACTTCTGTAAGACGATCAGAGAACCAGTTAACAAATAATTGCAAGCAATTCTCAACGCGTGCACTCACTTAACACATTCAGAAAACAGTGATTTTAACTTCTCGCTTTATGATTTATTTGTTAACGACCCAAGCGAACTATTTAAGCTTTCCTCTTCTACAACATCGCGTCGGATTACGTAACATCGAGATACTGCACATAACGTGTATCTTTAATTATCTTTAATCTAAAGAATCGAAATCGAGCTAACCCAATTGCGAATGCGAATCCCAACTTCTATCGACTCAAAACTGTAACTCACGTCGCAAGTATGAATGAATATCGTAAGTGAAACAGTTAAAAACAAAAGGATAGAATGTCTCTCGTAAAACAATTTCAAGTGTCTCCTAAAATCATTTCGGGGAGAAATATCGCAAGGAAATTGCGCTTCTTTTACTAAGCAACCACCGAAACTCGAAATTCCTTTCGATAGCAAAGAAACGTAGCGGTAACGTTCAACGATCGTTTCTTCTTTCATCGACGAGTTTGCCAGTGACGGTCCCCTGACCATTCAGACGCTACGTCACTACGACGACGGAAGCGTTCCTCTAGCGAGTTACGAAAATTCCGACACGGCTTTGACGTTCTTCTCTTCGACCATCCCCCTTCTACCCCTCGATGCAGGCTAAATTCGACCGAGCTCGAAAATTTTCGCGAAAAGACGAAAGTGGCGCTGCTCCTTGGTTCCGACTCTAGGATGCTGTACGCATCTCGTTGCTTATAGCTTCCTTCGAACTATAGCGGAAGGTGGCGGATGTGGAGGTGGAAAATCGGGCGCGGACGATCTGGCGCTGGCATCTCGCTATCAGTCTTCCGAGGGAGCGTCGCGACGATCGACGAGCGGCTAAAAATCAGCTCGGACCTCTCTTTCCAACTCCCCCTTTTTTTCTCTCTCTCTCTCTCTCTTCCGATTCGTTTTAGCTTTACACGCATCGACCGCTAATTAGAACAGAGAGGTCTAGAGAAACAATCAGGATCGATAGCTGACAGATCGCTCGACGATCGCACGCTACCCCCCTCCACACAGTTCGAACAACCCTCCTCGAGTACCTTTTTTTTTTTAACATAATAATTCCCAAATTTCGACCGTGTTATAACAACTGCTGTAACGTTGCATGGTGGTTCGCGGTGGCGAGTTTTAACTTCGAACGAAGATATATAATTGAAAGAAGAATAGAGTGAAGTATAATACAGCAGTGATAAGGAGCAAGTTTCGCGATCCAGTTGGAGCGTATTATCGGAAGCTGTGGATAGAATGACGATCGGTGTCATCGAGATAGTCGAAGTGAAGTCATCGAACAGACGTGTCAGGGTCGTGAGACACGAAGCAACGCTTGTCGGTTTATTTTTGCGCCCCTGTCACCGTGCACACCAGCGATATCACGACAACGATAAATAACGCAACGGCGATGCCAACGTGTGACAGGTCGACGCGATCGGCAATGAAATAAAAATCGATCGGTGACTAAGTATCAATGCGAGTACAGAACCGCAGGACACGGAAGAATCGATGCATCGATTCGGATTTCATCCACCTTTTCGTCTCTTATTTAGCTCTCGTATACGAAGCACGCAACTGTCGCGTTTCGTCTGGGATGGTTGGTTTGACAAACTCGCGAGTGATTATTGGTGGTGACTGCTGTTGTTTCGCGAGTGGTGAATCTTGATTCAAGGAGGAAGAGCGTCGAACGAACGTGTGACATGGGGAGCGATTGCTGCAAGTGCGCCAATGGCAACAAACCTGCCATTACGGGATCGTTTAGAAACCGTTCTGGATACCGGTAGGATTTTACAATCATTGGTAGCATACTAGAGGTACAATGTAGGATTTAGAGTTGTTAGCAGACTGTAGATTTTTATGCAAATTCATTTCTTTACGAAGATAAAAGTGATATCTAAATTGAGGTTTATAACGTCTAGGAAATATGCCAACGAGTGCTATGTCTTTGATATTTTATATATTTTGTGTATCGTGTATTTTGTACATTCTTACTGGTTAAAATTTACAACGAGTATACGAGGATCCGTAGTTTAGTTACCGAAAGCGAAATTCTTTACGTTCATTTGGTTTCTCGTTTGTTTCGTTTGTTTGTATTAGCAGAATCTAGGACAACGTGATCGAAAAACGTGGAATTTTACTGGTTAGATAGTTGGATTCTATTCTGTAAATGGACTCGTATTAACATTGTTAACTCTAATTTTTTTTAGTGAAATTAATAACGGATGCCTCTAAAAAATTCTCGAAAAGTTTCCTCGCCATAGCCGCATGTCACACATTTGCTTCCAATTTCTTGGCAATAAAAATCATTAACAATCTTTGCCACATAAAATCGAAAGTACACAGCGTAATTAGGTTGTAATTATCGTAAAATTGAAGATCCTAATCGGTTGTGATTATCTGCGACTGGAGATACTAATCGAGATATTTTACGGCTTAATTTCTTCCATCGAGTTCAATCAATTATTCTCATCATTCAATTCATTCGATTACGAGCTGAATACTATAGAAATATCAAGATGACTATCGTCGAGTATGCAATGAAAATTAAAGGCAAATAGAGTTTCTATTCTATAAAATCCTATTCTTCTAAACATCGACGTAAAACGGGTAGAAAATCCGATGTTAAATCGTATTAGAGAAACCTTGAGTTTCGGCTCGGTTATGCGAATAACGCAAGTCTTAGACGCTACGAACGAAGCTTATTTACACGATACACGAGCTTCTTTCACTCATAAACACCCTAAGTATATACATCGTACGTTTAACGAAATTTTATACCGTTTTTACAAAGTACCCCGTGGTATCTTCAATTTTGACCGCTCTAATAGGAAAATTCTGCGTTCCTATCGTCTGAAGGTATCTAAATAAAAATCGGTTGCACGCTTCCAACGTATTTTCGGCAAACAAATGATCTAGAGCGCCTCAAACTCTTGGCATTGCTCTACTGCCCTATTTTCGTCGTGTTTTTAATCAAGCGTGTATGCACAACGGCGAGAACTTTGTCGTTCGATCGTCGCGAGATCGCGGCAACTGCGAGTATCGATCGAATTTTTCGGAGGCCGTGTTACAGCGTTCGAATCACTGAAATATCTCGTAACGATCTAGAAATACCGTAACGCGAGAGATCAGTGGTGCAACCACGGCGTGTGACTGACGTAAGGGAATTAGGTACGCTTTGACCACGACGCGATACTCCGTCTTTTCCATTTTCTTTCCACTTGCTTTTTCTTCTTATCGATATGTTGTTTCGACTAATGTCGAATCTCTTGACAGGATTCGAATATATTTATTTGTCACGATGTGCACGCAACGATGAGGTTTTTATGGAATTATTAAAAAATTATTTTTCCGTGTGAAGTTATTAGGAGATTACTTTTCTTTGTGAATGAAGTAGAGTATAAGAATAATTTTTTTTTGTTGAATAGACTTATTTTGATGGAAGATTGATATGGACTGGAAATTGTTTCCGTAATTAAAAGTACATATGAACTTTAAACTTTATATTTAATGTTTCGAACGTCTATGTTTTTTATTTTACTTAGTCTTTACTTAGTTTTATTTTACTTAGTTTTTTTATTTTACTTTTACTTAGTTTAGTGTGAATCTTTATGTTACCTTAGAATTTACATTATAATTACTTGACACAATTGCAAATAATTTATTAGAATTCGGTGTTTCTTCTCTTCTCTTTGGCACCAATGTGTTACATATTAGATAATTGTCATTCCTAGATAAATAAATAACCTTTCTTCTCGAGAATTCATAGCTGTTTCCGTAAACGCTCTGCAACAAAATTAGAAAATTTCTAATGTATCGTAGTATCTAGTTACGTTATTTAATATATCAATAGAATAAGAAACTCCTCGTTACAAGATTAAAATAAAACAAATGCAACAATTGGAACACACATATTTGGCGTCTATGAGAGAAATTTAAGCAAGTAGAAGAAACCTACAGAGTGTACATAGTATGCAAATATCGTAGTCACAAGAATATAAAGTTACATAAACAACGTTCTAACTTCTAGTTTAAATAAATCGCTTAACTAAAACTCTCGGTTAACAAACCAATTAAACTACAGGTCTAAACTTACACGCAAACACCAAACAACCACGTCAAATTTTTCCCAATTTCACGAATTGTCCTCCGATCGCATAATATTCCAAAAAGTTCGTGCTATTTTCTGTGAAAATTCCGTCGGTTTTCCGTTCTATTTGTTTTCACGCTAAGCTCTTGCAGCTTTTGAAACATAAACGACGATAAGATCGATCGATATTGCGGAACGCGTAATCTGTTTCACGGTTAGGCAAAATAGATATTGCGTCATCGAGCTTGAGCGCGCGCGTTTGACCGCGCCGTCGTCGAGGAGGCGCCTATGCACGCGCCCCGAGCTTGCGAAGGGTTGCGCTTTTCAATATGCGTACATATTGCGCAAAGAAAAATTTTTTCGCTATGACTAGTGATCACGAATCGAGCTCGCTTGCAAATGACAGTCGATCGTTTTGTTCAGACGGTGAAGAAATAAAAGATAGACGAATACGAGGGTCCGATTGGACTTCGGCCATCGCCCTGACAAGACACACAAATTGGCATTTGGATATTGCAAAACCGACCTCGTTTCGTTAGAAAGTGTTCCTCTTCGCTTTCTCGCTGGCAGTCGATTCATCTGTGTTTTCTTTTAAATCAGAAGTTCAGGGGACAAATGGCACGAGTGACGAAACTTTTAATTTAAGAAAACTCCGAGCAAAGTTCACTTTAGCAGAGAAATCTGTAAATCTCGAAGCTTCTAATCGTTGACGATGACGTAACCAACGTTGAAAAATATGAAAAGTCGATCCTTAAATATTAATTTGTTACATTGCAAACTTGTAATTCGCAGACCATAGTTTTGACGAAAACAGGCGACAAATTTGGGGGTTTGAAACATATCTGACGGAATATCTGAGAAATTGTCAGATTTAGAGAAATGATTCGAACGTAAAAATTTAGGCTGCGTAAATAATATTTTAAAGAATTGGTTCGTTCAAAAAATGTAATGAAAGTTACCAATTTTTGCTATAAAATGTTTATCCATTTTCATAAAAATTTACGCGCACAAACTTCCAACAATTATACGAAATACGAACAAACTGGAATTTACTCTTCCGACGTTACAACAAACGTTATTTATTATCATATCAAATTATTTTTGTTCATGCTACATAAATGAAGTCACTAGTCATGCATGATAGTAAAAATGATAAAAATTCTAACAGCTTGTGACCTTCTACGTGATTATAATATAGCGTCTAATGGCTCGTTAATTTTTCTTCGAGCAACCAAAATTAGTATCCCACGTAATGGTCAAATAGAGATTGATGCAAGTCGTAAATGCCGAAATTGTGCAAGACGAGGAAGCTGGGAATGTTGGAATGTTCGCATAGGGTGTGAATTCGTTTCCGCCAGTCTGTTGTTTCAATGTACGCGATTCGTTCCAAAGATATTTATAGAACGCCCACGTATACCGAGAAGTCGTAACTCACTCGCGTTATCTGCGTACCTGTCTGTGATGATTCTGTGAATGATTGGATAATTGTAGAAAAGTAGAGACAAAGGTTATCAGATGATCGAATTTAACCGTAAGACATGTGAAGATTTACGATTGGTAGAAAATAGAGAAGAAGAACAATGACACTGACTGAATAGTATCGTAACGAAGAAAGACCAACTGAATTAAAATATGAACTTTTGCTACTGTTTTATATCTGAGTTTGTCCCTGTGTATTACTACGTTTTCAAACGTTCGAACAATTTTCTAAAATGACAGAACCCCGTTAGAAGAATAATTGTAGATTTTTGTAAAATTTCTGATTAAAGCGTATTGCAATAAAAATCGAATAAACGAGCTTATAACGTTGCATATGAAATGAAAATTGAACAAGTGAACGTATACAAGGTGGGCCACGCAGCTGGGTCGGGCTATAGTTTCAATTTCGTTGAAGATAGCGATAAATCGTAGAGAGTACAATGGAATGACATGACCTATGTTCGTAGATATTACCTGTTTATCAATGAAATCGAACCCAATTACATGGTTCACCCTGTATATCTATGGATAACATGCGTAAATGCATTTATTTTCTGATAGTTTATAAATATTTATTTTTAACCAAATATCAAAACTACCGATAAAATTATCGAATGGTTGCATAAAAAATAAAATCAATATACGTTACTATTATAAGATAGTATACTACCAAATTAATATACATTAATTAAATTTCCGTATATGTCTTACTTATTATATTTATCTATTATATTAATTTATATTATACAGGGTGGTTGGTAACTGGTGGTACAAGTGGAAAGGTGATTCTTTTCCTTTTTTTTTTTAATTTTTCCATCGAGATAACGATCTACAGTGAGATCCGTTATAACGTACCGAGCGAAAGTTCAAAGTCGATTTTCTCGAAAACAAGGCCTCGAACGAAAAATTTTTATTCTATATTTTCGACTTCTTTTTTCACGTAGAATCACCTCCTTTTCGCTTGTACCACCAGTTGTTACCAACCACCCTGTATATTATGTTATTTTATGTACGTTAAATGGCAAAACTGGAATTTTACTGTAGGCTACGCGGAGATGTACCGATACCATCCGATCGATATAGAGTACAAATGAGAGGCAACGTCGTCCAGTTGACTCTGAAGCAATCACAAAAGGACGACACAGGACACTATGCTCTGGTGGCTACGAGAGTCGATCAAGGATTCGACAAAGGATCTTCCAAGAAAATTCACCTCAGCATCGATGAAGCTTCGGAAGAGGGTGATCCACCAGTCTTCTTACGAAGATTGACAGATCTTGCGGTTAAAGTTGGCACCAGGACCAGATTCCTCGTGGAAATCCGGAGTTCGACCACGCCGCAGGTAATCATTTACATCGCTGTATTGTGCTGATCACTCAACTCTTAACTACTATGATGAAATAGTAAAGTATATAGAATTAAGTAAATTGACGAATATTATGACAGTTAATATTACGTAGTATCTACTTGAGATTGAAATAATGACAGTTCCTAGATCTTCTTGCCCAGTTGGATTAATACTGTCGGTGAAATTTTACATGTTATATATATTATTAATCTCTTTGTAAATCAGTTCACAACCTTGGTAATAGAACAAATATAATTACACAAGTGAATTTTTCCACCTGTAAATTATCCAATTATCCTAATAAGGATGTAAATAAAAATGCAAGTAAAACTGATAATGCGAAGTTAACCATCATCGTGATTTCTTTATCTATCTACAATTAAAAATGAAAAATAAAGTGAAAAACAATCCTATAATTTTCTAACAGACGCACTGAGCAATACGACACGATAATGTTCAATTTTTACGAATTATCGTGTTGTACCTATTCTTCTCTGACAATATTAGCCAAGACATTCGCGTTGTTGAAAATTGTCCAGTCCATGAGATCGATCGTATTTTAATCGTTCTAAACAATTTACTAAGAAAACACAGGTCAACAATGAGCACCGGTAATCTCGAGGTAAACAAGGAAACAATTTTACCACGCGTTTAATACCAAAAATCAGAAGATCGATCGACCAATTGAGATTCGAATAAAGAGGAAGCCTGGTACGTTGCAAAATTGGTAGACAAAATTGGTAGGCAGAGGAATCCGTGCCAACTTCGGTGATTAACCCGGAAGGGTTGAGTCGAAATGAACCGGTGACTTATTGCCACGGATTTCTGTTGGTTCTTCTATGGCCGACAGCGGACGAAGCGGGAAACGCGCGCTAAAAGGGAGCCAGCCGAGGTCCATGACCCGAGATTCAGAGACGAAAGGTAGAAAACGAAGATCGTTACGCGGTCCTGTGCGTCGTATTACGACTATTATTACGCGCGCGCGTATACTATGGCCTGAAACTATGCCCGCAGATCGGCTAAATCTGCGTGCGTTCTGACTGCTCCTCGAGAGCCCGTAAACTTTCGAATGCTCGTTTTTCGCGCGGCGATTCTCTCTGACCGGGTTGCGTAACGCTCGAGGGAAGAGAATCTGCCACGAAACGGTCGCGGCGGAATTTCTCGTTGAAATTGCGAGGGCAATTTTGAAATAATTGATGCGGTCTTTGAGATTAAAAACGAGACGAATAAGTTTCAAATGTGGAATTTTGGTGCTGGCTAGTGTCAGAAGTAGACTATCTTTGTTATAAATAATAATTATTAAAATGTTGATTAGGTTGAATACGACGAATTATGTATTTATTTAAATCGAATACGAATTATATGTTTGTGTGGCTTGTAGCTATTAAGAATCGACTATTCATTTCCTGAACAGGTCCGAAAGAAAAATCGGACTTTACTTTCTCCTACTATTCGAGATTTCATATATCTTTCAGATGAATTTTCATAGAATTAGAGAGCAGAATCGTGATAAAATAAAAATGTAGGTTAATAAAAGAATAGATAGATGAAATAAATTGATGCTGATATTAGCGGTACGAGCGGCCAGTTAGGGCTGTTATAAAATGCCAAAGACTATCAGAAATTTCTATTCCTCTGGAATCATTAATCTGCTACACACATATGTCAGAACCATTAATACCGCGTTTAAACTTTTCAAAAGTATTCCGAATTTACAAAGACGTTCCTGTTAATTTTCTGGTTTCAATGACATTTCATAACTAGAGAATAGTACAAACTTTCAAACTTTTCAAAAGTATTCCGAATTTACAAAGACGTTCCTGTTAATTTTCTAGCTTTAATGACATTTCATAACTAAAGAATACTACAAACTTCAGAATAAAAACAACCTTCTAGATCTAAGGATATAACTTTCTTAACATTACCTTTTAAGTTGAATTTGTATGTTTTCCTATGAAACCAAAGCAATATTTTAATATACTCAATATTTCTACAATTATTAAAACGACCAACAATATAGGTTCCGCTTAAAAATTAAATAAACAAACAGTATGCTAGCGTGTACAACAACGTACTGAATCATAAACTTGCTTTTCCATGAAAAATTAAAAAGAAGTTACTTATCGCCTTCTTCTTCTGTAACCTTCGTATTTTAAATTATAAAATACAATCGATTATAATCTCCCCTATCCTGTCATATATAAAATATACCCTACCTTAAATAAAATATTGATTACGGACGACTAAGTAGAATATTAATTACAGGAGATTACGCAGGAGACTAATTACAGAGGATTAACTATAGTATCGATTATAAAGAATCAAACAGAATATCGATTGCGAAGTATCAAGTAGAACGAATCTTCCTGTCGTTCGTTTTCTCCGAAAACACGTATCGTTTGATTTGTTGTTGGCGTTAGCAGACTTGTCGCTGCTTAAATCTCTCAACGAATCGTTGTTGTTGAATTCCAGATCACTTGGCACAGAAATGCCGAGCCGGTCCACGCGGGTTCAAGATTCTCTTTCGTCCACGAGGGAAATTTCTATTGCGTGGATGTGGCACCTGTCACGGTCGAGGACGAAGGACACTGGACCTGCATGGCGGAAAATCGAGGCGGACGATCATCCTGCACCTCCCGTCTTACCGTAATCGGTAAGAACACGAGTTCCTGTTTAAGTCTGAATTCGATAAAATTACGCGTGTGTCCTGCGACTCCGGAATTTCCGGAACTCCGATTCGTCGCGGCTGTCTTCTAGACAAAAATAGATACGAGCCGTACGTGGTCAGCGTTTTGGGATTCGGACGGAGAAATAGTGAATTTTGTTCGAAGGTGCTAGGAAATTCTTCGAATGGCCGTAACTTTGAATATTTATTGCTTTTTCTTCGACATTTTTAAATCAAATAAAAAGAAATACGTTTGAAGCTGCGGTCTTTTTGCCCTGTAGCTTTCTTTAATTCAAGTTAACGATGTATTGTTAATAGAGAGTTAATAATAATTTGTTAATTTAAGATAATGGTTCCTTTTTTAACAGAAAGTTTCTTCTGAATAGATTTTTTGCATAATAAATAATAATTACATAATTACTACAGGAAAAGAATATTCCGAGTAACCGTGTATAACGAACAAGAAAACGATCTTTCTTTATCTTACTCAGTTTATTAAATCAAACTTACGTTGATTATTAACGCGGTAAATATCATAATTTTTGTTGGAATCTTTTCTTCCGTACAAAAATTCCTCTTAAACGTATTCGTTTTATACTTTAAATACGATCTTTGATGAATGTACTCCTTTCTGTATCGTGTGTGCACACTTCGATCGCGTACTATGAGTGAACCATGCACTTTCTGTTTATAATTAATTCTCTCTTTCGATTTGTTTTCATTTTTTAATCTACAGTTCCAAAAGCGTACAAAAGGCCAGAATTCGTCGAGGAGCTTCGAGCTCTTCTTACAGAGACAGGTACGGTGTCCTTGGAGTGTAAAGTAGTCGGTGTACCTACGCCGGTGCTAAGATGGTTCAAGGACGACAAAGAAATCAAGGCTGGTGATGTCTTCGCTTTAACTGCCAACCTCGATGACCCAACCTCCCTTGGCATTTATACTTGCGAGGCAGTAAACTGCATGGGAACTGCTTATTCTTCTTCAAAAGTAAGCGAGCATAAACGATATTATAACGTTATATTACAATTTCTTCTATTATATTATATACCCATATATTTTTATTATTATATTATTGTCGAGAATTGTGGGTTTTTGAAGCCGAAATAATGTTATAGGAACGCTAAATTTACACTTGGAATTAATATTAGAACAGTTATACAGGGTGGTTAGTAACTGATGGTACAAGCGGAAAGGGGGTGATTCTATGCAAGAAAAGAAGTCGAAAATATGAAATAAAAATTTTTCCTTTGAGGCTTTGTTTTCGAGAAAATCGACTTTGAACTTTCGCTCGGTACGCGTAAATTAAAAAAAAATTTTATTCTATATTTTCGACTTCTTTTTTGGCGTAGAATCACCCCCTTTCCGTTTGTACCATCAGTTACCAACCACCCTGTATTTAAAAGTTTACGCTTTTCCCATTAATTGGCTCCGTTTTCAGAAAAGAATTTTCACGACATTCGGACATATACGGCGAAATATATTTTTTTAGGTACATGTGGTTGGGAAGGGCAGTAGGGAAGGTTCCTTGAAGCCAGCAGATTCCTTAACACCGTCCGGTCCTCTTCCTACTTTCACGAAGATTCTGCAGGACGAATGTTGCAGGATTGGGGACACTCTCCGGCTTTCTTGCCAAGGTATATCTTTCGCAATTCCTTCTTCTATTGTTTGTTTTTTTTCTATCAATCTTACCCACTTATGACGATTATTTCATATTCAAATTATTACATTTCATTTTTTCATTTTCTGCTAGCTTTTAAAGATCGTAAAATACACACATACTCGTACATCCATGTAAACCTTTTCTTTTCTTATTCGATATTAAATAAACGATGCGATTAATCGTTGAAAAGATTCAATTTATTACGATGTAACAGTTCAAGTACCACCATGGCCGAAAGCAATTACGTGGTACAACAAAGAAGGACGCATCGAACCGAGCGAGAAATACCACGTGATGGAAGATGGCCTTGGTGGCTACTTTATAGAGGTAAGCCCTGTGGAAGCTATGGACGAGGGTGAGTGGAAGTGCGTCGCCACGAGCGCTGAAGATATGAAACAGTTTACTACTTGCTACGTTGCAATGTCCAGTAAGTGGAAAACTAACACTTTCTTCACTCGATGCATTTAAGTTAATTTGGTTAAAATTTGCTTATTTTCTTATTATAACTAAACATTTAATTAGAATTAAAACTACAAATAAAACTACTTGAATTTTCACTATTACACAATTTTGAGAATCAATTAATTCAATCGTATTATTGGCAACTAAGTGATTGTGGATTTTGTCAATACCACCTAATGAGAAAATCCGCAATTACTTAGTTGCCGACCCAATGTAACAAAATAAGAAAATGAAGATTTCTGAAACTTTTTAAATCTTTAAATTGCTCAAAGGTAAATTCGTCGTTAATTGATATTTAAATGACATTGGAGATTTATTGTCAGATCGTGTGATTAATCTGTTATTCGTCAAGTTCCAAAGAACTACAGGAAACCCCGCTTCATGGAAAGCTTGAAAGCTGTCCTGACAGAAGAAGGTCTGGTGTCCTTTGAGTGCAAGGTCGTAGGATTCCCCACGCCATTGCTGAGGTGGTTCAAAGACGGCCAGGAACTAAAACCAGGAGATGTTTATCAATTAACCGGGACCAACTCCTTAGGTATCGATCGTACAATCTAAACGTTCAAATACGTCTTTCAAATATTTGACTTTTTATCGACATATAATCGTTCCTTTAATGTTCGTAATATTCGATTTCGTACCAGGATCCTATTGTTGCATCGCAAGAAATTGTATGGGAGAAGCAAAAAGTACAGCCGAATTAACGATCGAAGATATACAAAATCAATTAAACGAAGAAGAACGTCTGCAACTTTTAAGCACAAACCAGCCGCCCATTTTCATCAAAGGTCTTAGAAGTTGCGAAGCGAGAATTAACGAAGATTTCCGATTTACGGTGCAAGGTAATTGCATGCGAAACTTAATTTATTATCTTAATCTTCGACTTGGAACATACCATTACTATTGAACCACGATTACATCGTTATTACGCTACAATTTTCTTAAAAGCATCAAATTTCCAAATTTCATGCACGTTTCGATACTTGCATTAACAGAGCTGTGAAAAGCAAGATTGTCATAGATAACAAATTTCACGTTACGAGTAAAAGCATTACTAAACCTACATCAACGTATCAGGTTGTCCGGAAAGTGTCTTTCTTTCAATGCGCCTTCGCGCAAACGTGAAAGCAAGTCTGTGAAATGTCGCGGTGTTTTCCTCAACTGAAGAAAATGAATCGTACGTCATTCGACAAGATAATATAAAATAAAAAACGTTGTGCTTCTATCATTTCCTTATAAAACGAAAGACACCTTTCGGACAACCTAATACGTGATATTTATATCAGAAACTAAACTTCTTGAAACTATCAGAAAAATATCTTCCTACGCTAATATCATATCGTCGTAAATTCTGTATGACTTTCAACCTTTTAAACGTTTTGGGTACGCGATCATAGATAAAAGACGGGACTGTCATCGATAGAGAATTTCGAGTTACAAATAACATTGGTCTGTGTAAATTTCGCAGTCAGTATTTCGCCCGAGCCAAGCCTAGCTTGGTACAGGGACGACCAGCCAGTGGAGGAGAACGAGAAGTACCAGGTTGCCAAGGAAAATCTTGGCACTTGCCATCTCGACGTACAAAAGCTCGAGTTTCTCGATCAAGTGAGTAGTAACTGTTTAGAAAAATAAGAAGAAGAAAATTTGAAACGTTAACAGATTAAATGGATAAATAATAATCGTTTACGATGTGACGATTTAGGCCGAGTGGAAGTGTGTAGCTTCCAACGACCACGGTCAAAGCGTCACTTCCTGTTTTCTCAAATTAATCATTCCCAAGCACTACAAGAAACCCAAGTTTCTTGAGAGTTTGCGCGCCATATTATCGGAAGAAGGCGCGGTAAATTTAGAGTGCAAAGTGATCGGTGTGCCTCAACCGATTCTCAAATGGTACAAGGATGGCGTCGAGTTAAAGCCAGGAGATATTCACAGGATCATTTCTGGACAAGATGGCACCTGTTGTTTGGGCACTTACACCTGCGAAGCGACAAATTGCATGGGAACTGTCAGCAGTTCAGCGTCCCTTCTTGGCTTCGAAGGTATCCTAATTATTGTAATTAAGGATCATTTATCAGATCGGATGAAATGTTTACGCGTAACCGTTTCGTAAATTGAGACGCGTAAACGGCATAATTTGTAAGTTGGTTTGTCGAGGTACTACAGATGCTTTAAAGAAATTTACCTTAAAGAAATTTACTTTGAAGAAATTTACTTTAAAGAAATTTACGTTAAAGAAATTTACTTTGAAGAAATTTACGTTAAAGAAATTTACTTTAAAGAAATTTACTGTATACGACAAAGTTCTACTATTAATAGAAAGAGCGAATATCATATGGCTGGAAATATTTCAATTTCATAATAGTTTATAAAATTGTAGGATCTAAACGAAGAATAAAATGTTCGCGTTGATGCACAGTTAGGCAACGTTATAAATAATTTTAGTGTATTTTTAGCGACAGTAAATTTTTTATAACTATGAAACATCCACTAAGTATGTTGCAAATCCAGCAAATATATGTTTCATAGATAAACTCCCGGTTCAAAAAGAAGCGAAAGAACCACTGTCACCAAACGGTCACGAACTCGCCAGGAACTTGTCACTTTCAACGATTCACGAAGAAAGAACGTCCCAGTTATACGATACACCACAAACCGATCATTCCGTCACGTTAGACGATCGAGGAGAAGTATCCTTCAGTTTCGATGGTAAAGAGGTTTCCGTTAGCTTATACGAAACACCTGATCTCACCGAGGAAGAAGCTCTTCAGATCGTTGAGATGTACGCTGATCAATTATCCGAACACGTAACAGGTAAACTTTTATACTATGTGAAGTTTAATCATCAAATATTTTATTACTATCGTGATATAACAAAAGATATAGGACGTACCTGGAGGAAAAGGGTAGACTTTTATCTATTATAAATATAATTATGCGTATTACTTCATTTGTATGTTATTATTTTATGATTGTTTTATTATACGATGCCTTGTGACTCTGTTTTATTTTTCTATTTTTCGTTGAATATTAGCTGCAATACTTTTCCCTTTTTATCTTCCGCAGTGCAAACTGTAATTCGCCTAAACAAATATCGCAAACCAAGGAGTGTAGAAAATTTCGCAAAATTCATTACAGAAACTTTGTCTATCGGAATTAAATGAAATAAAGTGAATATTATGCTTGTTGTGTTATTATAACCAATTATGTTAGACATTAAATTTAAACAATTGGCAAACCAAATAGAGTATGTTATATATTTATTTATGAATTATATAACGCTTATTTAACGTTTTTTTTAAACTTTTGCGTCTTTTAAATTCTCACGAAAGCCGATAAGAAAGCTAACAATAAACTAACGACAAAAGAGGCTAACAAGAACTAACGATAAAAGACCAGCAAGATGAAATCTTCAAAACTAACAAAATTATAATCTTCAAGACTTCGTTCCCTATGTTTTATAGAGCACAACGTGATCGAACTGCCGCCAATGCGATTCGTTAAGGAGTCTTCGAATTCCGGAAACCTGTTAATGGAAGCAGTGGTGATCGACGTGTCTCCGGATTATTTCGTCAGCGCTGAAGATGGCGACGATCTTCGTACAGAAGCCGACTTCGAGGACGTATCGATCATGGACGACGTAACCCGTGTCTTTTCCTCTCCGGATCAAGACTCTCGCAGTTCTTTAAAACGATCTGCCGGGTATAGCCTGGAAGAAGATGACAAACCACCGACGAGACCTCCGAGAAAAAAATCGAGCTCCTCGTCCAAAAGTGAAAAGAGCGAGAAGAGCCACAAAATGGAATCAGAAAGCTTTCACAGCGCTCAAAAAGACGAACCATTTTCACCGGTGTCTCCAATGTCACCGGTTTCCTCGTTGAAACAAGACGACAGCGACACTTTCGCTGATGCGCTGTCTTCAGCTAGACTTTCCATTTCAGAGAATCAAGTTCAAAGATTGTACGAGGACGGACGAGAAAGGAAACGCAGTCTGAGCGCGGAGAAAACAGCTGGCTCGAGCATAGACGATGGAATAGGCGGAGATTCTTCCTTCGATTCCGTCACCGGTGCCCCAAAGAAGAAAAAACACCGAAAGAAGAAGCATAAAAGAGAAAAAGGTAGCTCGGAAGAGTCGTCCATTGGCAGCGAAATCGATGGAAAACGAAGAAAAAGTGGGTCAACAGGCGCCAATACCGAGATGCTTCAACGTATAGAGTCTATAAACAAGACCGAAGAACCATACGTAGAAGACGTGGCTGATAAATCTAGCGAGAAGAAACAGACGACCAGTGAATCTGAAAAATCATTATCGAAAAGTAACAAGGAAAGATTGTTGGACAATATGAGGAGGCTGAAAGAACCTGTTTTTATCGTTAGAGACACTTTAGTGAGCATCGACAATCTGGAAACTAAATTGAACGCTGGTAGCGAAGAAGAGTGTAAGATGATCGTGACGAAGAACGTTATCAAACCTATTCAAAACTTATGCGAAGAAGTGTCTTCTATAGAGTCAAAAGCATTGAAGAACGCGGGTGATAGATCTTTGAATCAAACCATTCGAATTTCTTTATTGGAAGCTATCGGTGGTCCGACAGAAGAGCTTCTTCGTGGAATGGAATTAATAGAACGTCAGGAAAACGTGAAAAATCGTAAGATGGATTTAATTGCGATTTTGGAAAGCCTGACGGACCCAGTGGATGAGATTCTTATGGGAATCACGAAGCTCGAACATGAGCTAACTGGACGAGCAAAGGGCGAGAGACCGATCGCTTTAATCAGGATGATTTCTGCAGTTTCTAAGCTCGATGAAAATGTCAGGAATGTATTAACTGTGGATAAACGAACTACAAGATTGGTAGCGAGCTTGGAAGATATTCTCAATACTTTGGATCTCTTTTTGAGCGACGTTTCCGTGGATCCAACTAAAGGAACGATAGAAACTGTGGATACGGTAGTCGTTGAATCTCTTTCGAAGTCTATAGAAGACATGGCGCGAGCTCTCAGTAGGTTTTCCAGCATCGAAGCAAAAGCAGACGGTGCTTCTAAAATTGCAGAAGAACTTATTCCTCCAACGCGCGAATTAAAAGCAAAATTAGACACGTTAAAGTCTGCCTTGGAGACTTACGAAACGAGGGGCATCTTATCCGAGCATCGAACGAAATTGATCGAGTCTCTTCAAGAATCCGCTGAACAAACAATCGTTGAAAGTCAAAGAGTAAAAGACAAGAAGCCAATGGAAGATCAGAAAAGGATAGTCGAAGAGCCCAAGGAAGATATTCTAAGGGAAGTGAGATTGAGCCTTCAGGAAACGTTGAAAACGTACGAAAACATTGCTGATACTCTGGATCCTCGACTCTGCTCCATTTTCGACCGAATTGACGAGATGTACAGAAGACTGAGGACACCACAAAGACGAGAAATTGGCCTGGAATCTCTGACAAATCTCGAAGGTCCTTTGTATTCTCTTCAGTGCGCTCTAACCTCGATTTCCACCGCGGAGAATTCTGAAACGATATCTAAACTCCTGGAACCTGCCATTTCTCAGTTGAAATCAACAATAACTAATTTGAACGAGAATTCTTTGCAGTCTATATTGGAAATGGTTAATAACATCGAGCGGATTATTTATAAAACGGACAGCGAATTGGAAGAAGGTACATCTTCGAAATCGATACAGGAACAGCCTCACAATTTGACAGATAGAGTCCTGGATCCTTTAATAGATGTTCAAGCAGCTTTAAGCACTGCTCTACAGAATATAGAAGACGTCGAATCTGTTACAAACGGAGCAGCTAGTTCTCAAAAATTATTAGCTTCTTCCGAAATAGCTGTTTGTCTCGTAGAGCTCAGACAATATATATCTGACGCGGTTCATACAGCGATGACCTTGAGGGAAGATGAAACGATAAATAGCTTGATAGATCTGAAGGAACCATTGCTGGATCTTCAAACGGCTCTTGTTTCCAAAGGAAGGACTTTCCAGGAGCTTCCAGTGATTCGTAAAATGTCGATCCCAGTAGAAAAGCTGAAGATCGTTGTATCGAAAGCATTAAAACACTCCGCGTCACAAGAAGATATCAATTCGATGAAAGATCTTTGGAAAATGATAGAAGAGATTGAAACTCAATTACCAAAGACAATATCTCAGTTAGTGGAGGCCGAAGAAGCGACAAAACATATTTTGGACAGTTTGAACATCGATCAGAATCTCAGTAATATTCACTTTGCTTTGTCTTCGACGTTAGAAAGGCAAGAAAAGAGCTATCCTAATTATACCTCGTGTCTAACAATATCTGTAGAAGATCTAAGGCAGAATATTGGATCTTCAGCGGTAGCGATTGCTAATTTAAAGAATCCAGTGGACGAACAGATTGTAGAACAGGTTTCTTTATTAAAAGAATGTCTGTTGAGTTTGCAGAGATCTTTATTGACCCAAGAACATGAACCTGAAGAGGAGCAAATTTTAAAAGATTTGATAAATCCAATCGAGAAATTGAAGAGACTGGTTCAAACTATGGTAAACACCGACGCAAGAACAGACGTAATTCTTCCAGTTTTGGAATTACTCGAAGAAATAGAGAAAGACACGCCATTAATTGCAAGGGAGACATCAAAAAAGAAAGCTAAAAGAGAAGCAGAAAAATTAATTCCGAAAAAGGAAGAACCAAAGAAACAGAAAGATCAGTCGTTTGGTTTAGCAGATAGGATCTCTCGATCCTTATATCCTATGAAACATTGGTTATCAAACACATCTGAAGAAAGCACGAAGGACGAAGAAGAATCTGCTTTAAGTTCAACCGTCGACGAATTGAAGAAAGACGTAAACAAAATTGCTATTGAAACATCGTATTCTGAACCTCCAAGTGACGAAAATTTGATAGAGGCATTGGTAGATCTTCGTGAACCTTTAACAAGGTTACGAAATGCTATATCGATGTACCACGAACCAGCAGATTTGACAACTTTGGAGGAATTGGGCAGACCAATGAAGTATCTCCTGCAGACTATCATGGACATTCTTAAAGACCACCCTGAAGAAGAAACACTTCGACCTATAGTGGATATCGTGGAAGAAATTGAAAATCAGATACCTATTTCTATCAAAGAGGCTCTTTACAGGAAAGAATTGAAAGAAATGGTACAATCAATGACTCAAGAGAAGATGGTGGAAGCAACGACGTCTCAAGAAACCATTCAAGAAGAGTCCATTCCTCAGGAGACTGTTCTTCCAGAAAGAGAAGAAATTACAGCACACGTTTCCCAAGAAACCATTCCTGAGGCAACTCTAATGGAAAGCACTACGATATTGCTTGAAACGCAGTTTACTGAATCGATAGCTGAACAGACTGCAGTCGAAGAAAGTTCTCAAAGAACAGAACAGTTAATTACAACGATAGAGGAATTACCAAAGGAAAAGAAAGATATGAAGAAAGCGAAGAAAGAAGAAGAAGCAAAGAGCTTGGTTGTTTCCTTGTTCAAAACGCTGGAAAGTGTTCAGATAGATATAACAGGGATTTTGGAAGATTTTGAAGAACCTACAGCTGGAACTACCATTGTTCCAGTTTCTATATTAGCTAATTCCGTGGAAGAACTTATGAAGACGATTTCTGAGATGAGAGTGACAACTGGAACCTATGGAACATCGGTTAATTCCTACGAAGAAATAGTTAGTCAGACTGTATCTGTGCTAAAGAACCTTCTCCAACCTTTGAACAATCTTCAGAAAGTTCTGCAGCAATCACACCAGCATGGTGCCCAAGAACTATTAATCTTGAACCATTTAATTCATCCATTGAACGTGATCGAATCCGAAGTGATCAATAGTGCAATCGAGAAGCTTGATCAAAATTCTGATCTGAAGAAAAATTGTGAACCTATTTTGAATCTTCTTAGAGATATCAAAGATACGGTACCAATCGTTGTGAAAGATATTCATTCTAGGCAAGAGCTTCTTGGATCTCTTCGTGAGATCTCGAAACCTTTGGAAAATATCGAGGAACAAATGAAAATTCTTGAAGCTCAAGCTGATGTTACTCTGGAGACAGATGTAGCCAGAATTCTGGTGAAGCCTTTGGATTATTTACTAAACACAGTAAACGTGACTTCGCAAGAGCTTGAGCTCTTAGATCAGCGAAGAGAAATTATTGTTGAATTTCGAACTCTTGTTGAACCTTTAGTGGAATTTTTGAGCAGTCTTTCGGTCGTTCAAAGTAGCAGAAAAAGTTTAGTCCCAGAATCAGCTTTGTTGGACGAAAGACGAAGCGTTATTTCAAAGGCAGTCGAAGGTTTACAAAGACAAACTTCAACCATTTTGGAAAGAATTTCTAATTTAGAAGGAGCCACACTTTTTGAAGGTGCATTGAGTTCACTGAAGAATGCTACTATCTCTGTTCAACAACAAATTGGTGGGACTGATTATTCAAGAAGATCTAGCAACGAATTTACTCTTCAATATAATCTGTCGAGTTCGTTTAATCATTTGAAGAATACAATTGCAGTTTTGGATAAGAATGTGGATAAATCTGTTCATCAAGTGATTTCGAAGTCGTTAGAAGCTTTAGAGAAGCAAATTACGTTATCAGAAACACATTTCATGCAAACGTTCACTGAGCAAGCGGTAGATGAAGAAGCTATCGTTGAAGGATTTTTGTATCCGACTAATCAACTTAGGTCAGCTTTGAATGTATTAAAGGAAAAAATTAATCAGAAATCGATATCCTCTGTTTCCGTCCAGACTGTGACTCTTCTTCAGGCTCTGGCTAATTCTACGACAGAGTTGGCTTCCTCTTTGTCTCTTCATCGGGTCAGGTTAATAAGAGAACGAGCTTCTGAAGGTTCTTCGCTTGTCGAAACCTTGTCTGCTATGGTGGATGTTTTGGAGAGTGTGAACGATTCTATAAGAGAAATTGAAATGGTGGCGAATGTAGAGAAAACTATGACAGAAGAGAAAGAAGAGAATATTTCACCTGATGTCCCTATTACTATTACACAGATTGAAACTATTGTGGATGAGATCATTGAAGTTTCAAGGGAAGAAGTGGAAAGTGTGTTAACTATTGAAAAAATACCACCTGAAGAAGAACGATTGAAAATAGAGGAAATAGAATCTGAAGAGAAAATTCAGGAGCTTCGAGAACAAACAGCAGAAAAGATTAAAGGTCCGGAAACAACGAAAGAAGAAAAGCTCGATACCTTCGAAGCAATGAAAGAGGAAACAACAAAAGCGCGTGAAACAACTGAAGAGGGACAGATCAAAGTTCTTCAAGTAATGGGAAAAGAAAAAGTTGAAACTTTTGAAGGAGTGACAGAAGGAAAAGTCGAACTTCTTGAGGGGACAACAGAAAAGAAAGCTCAAAGCAATGAAAGAGGAAACAACAAAAGCGCGTGAAACAACTGAAGAGGGACAGATCAAAGTTCTTCAAGTAATGGGAAAAGAAAAAGTTGAAACTTTTGAAGGAGTGACAGAAGGAAAAGTCGAACTTCTTGAGGGGACAACAGAAAAGAAAGCTCAAGCTCTTGAAGTAACTGAAGAGGAAAAGATCAAAGTTCTCCAAGTAATGGGAAAAGAAAAAGTTGAAACCCTTGAAGGACCGACAGAAGGGAAAGTCGAACTTCTTGAAGGAACAACAGAAGAGAAAGCTAAAGCTGTTGAGGTAACTGAAAAAGGAGAAACCAAAGTTCTCCAAGTAATGGGAAAAGAAAAAATTGAAACCCTTGAAGGAGCGACAGAAGGGAAAGTCGAACTTCTTCAGGGGGCAACAGAAGAAAAAGCTACAGCTCTCGAAGTAACTGAAGAGGAAAAGAACAAAGTTCTCCAAGTAATGGGAAAAGAAAAAGTTGAAACCCTTGAAGGACCGACAGAAGGGAAAGTCGAACTTCTTGAAGGAACAACAGAAGAGAAAGCTAAAGCCCTTGAGGTAACTGAAGAAGGAGAAACCAAAGTTCTCCAAGTAATGGGAAAAGAAAAAGTTGAAACCCTTGAAGGAGTGGCAGAAGGAAAAATCGAACTTTTTGAGGGGACAGCAGAAGAGAAAGCTACAGCTCTTGAAGTAACTGAAGAGGAAAAGATCAAAGTTCTCCAAGTAATGGGAAAAGAAAAAGTTGAAACCCTTGAAGGAGTGGCAGAAGGAAAAATCGATCTTTTTGAGGGGACAGCAGAAGAGAAAGCTACAGCTCTTGAAGTAACTGAAGAGGAAAAGATCAAAGTTCTCCAAGTAATGGGAAAAGAAAAAGTTGAAACCCTTGAAGGAGTGGCAGAAGGAAAAATCGATCTTTTTGAGGGGACAGCAGAAGAGAAAGCTACAGCTCTTGAAGTAACTGAAGAGGAAAAGATCAAAGTTCTCCAAGTAATGGGAAAAGAAAAAGTTGAAACCCTTGAAGGAGTGGCAGAAGGAAAAATCGATCTTTTTGAGGGGACAGCAGAAGAGAAAGCTACAGCTCTTGAAGTAACTGAAGAGGAAAAGATCAAAGTTCTCCAAGTAATGGGAAAAGAAAAAGTTGAAACCCTTGAAGGAGTGGCAGAAGGAAAAATCGAACTTTTTGAGGGGACAGCAGAAGAGAAAGCTACAGCTCTTGAAGTAACTGAAGAGGAAAAGAACAGAGTCCTCCAAGTAATGGGAAAAGAAAAAGTTGAAACCTTTGAAGGGGTGACAGAAGAAAAAGTCGAACTTCTTGAGGGGACAACAGAAGCGAAAGCTCAAGCTCTTGAAGTAACAGAAGCAGAGAAGGTCAAAGTTCTTCAAGTAATGGGAAAAGAAAAAGTTGGAACCCTTGAAGGACCGACAGAAGGGAAAGTCGAACTTCTTGAAGGGACAACAGAAGAGAAAGCTAAAGCCCTTGAGGTAACTGAAGAAGGAGAAACCAAAGTTCTCCAAGTAATGGGAAAAGAAAAAGTTGAAAACCTTGAAGGAGTGGCAGAAGGAAAAATCGAACTTTTTGAGGGGACAGCAGAAGAGAAAGCTACAGCTCTCGAAGTAACTGAAGAGGAAAAGATCAAAGTTCTCCAAGTAATGGGAAAAGAAAAAGTTGAAATCCTCGAAGAAGCGACAGAAGGAAAAGTCGAACTTTTTGAGGGCACAACAGAAGAGAAAGCTAAAGCTCTTGAAGTAACAGAAGCAGAGAAGATCAAAGTTCTTCATGTAATGGGAAAAGAAAAAGTTGAAACTCTTGAAGGAGTGGCAGAAGGGAAAGTCGAACTTTTTGAGGGGGCAACAGAAGAGAAAGCTACAGCTCTCGAAGTAACTGAAGAGGAAAAGATCAAAGTTCTCCAAGTAATGGGAAAAGAAAAAGTTGAAACCCTTGAAGGGGTGACAGAAGGGAAAGTCGAACTTCTTGAAGGGACAACAGAAGAGAAAGCTAAAGCTCTTGAGGTAACAGAAGCAGAAAAAGTGAAAGTTCTTCAAGTAATGGGAAAGGAAAAAGTTGAAACCCTTGAAGGAGTGGCAGAAGGAAAAATCGAACTTTTTGAGGGGACAGCAGAAGAGAAAGCTACAGCTCTTGAAGTAACTGAAGAGGAAAAGAACAGAGTCCTCCAAGTAATGGGAAAAGAAAAAGTTGAAACTTTTGAAGGAGTGGCAGAAGGAAAAGTCGAACTTCTTGAAGGGACAACAGAAGAGAAAGCTAAAGCTCTTGAAGTAACTGAAGAGGGAATACTCGGCACTCTCCAAATAATGGGAACGGAAACACTTGAATCTCCTGAATTGGTAGAAGAAGAACTTGAAGTTCTGAAAGAAATGAAAGATGAAACAGTTATGGCTCTTGAAGCAGCAGTTGTATCCCCTGAATTGGTACAAGAGAGTAAAGTTGAAAGTATTAAGGTAATGAACGTCGGAAAGGTCGTGTCGGTTGAAGGAATGAAAGAAGAAAAAGCTGGAGATCTGGAGATAACGAAAGAAGGAGAATCAGTAGTAATACACAAATCAACAGAAGAATTGTCGAAAGCAGTGGAAAGGGTTGAAGTGTTTTCCGAAGAGACAACAGAAGGTGCTGGCCAAATATTATTTGATATGACAGAGAAACTATCGATAAAAGAGGAAGAAGTCGAAACTGTGCCGCAGATGACGGAAGAAATGCCAAAGGCTATGGTAAAAGTAGAAGCTCCGCTTGACGAAACCGAAAAGTTGATAGATGAAAAAAAAATAGAAATTTTAACAGATGAAGTAGCACTGCCGGTTAAAACTGTAGACGAAAAAACAACATCGTCTGAAAAAGTGGCTGTAACAGAAAAATTAAAAGGAGCATCTGGTGTTGAAGAATCTGTGGAAGAAATAATCGCACAAACGATAGAACCAGAACAAAAAAAAAGAAGGACTGAAACAGCAGTCGAAAGAATGGAGGAAGGAAAAATTGAAAAAGCAGAAGTGGCAAGTCAAGAAATAAAAATAGAAGAATCTAAAAAATCCGAAGAATTAAAACAAAAGCATGATACTAAAGAGCAAGTATTTGAAAAAGTAGAGGAAACACTAAAAACAGAAAGAGTCGTAGAAGAATCACTAGAGAAAACAAAAGAAGAAACAAGAGAATCAGCATTTAAAGAATCAAACGAGGCAGAAAGACAAAGAGAGATAATGGAAGCTTTAGAACGCATAGAAGACTTAGCAAAGGCAGAAGAAATGGCAGAGGAGGAAAGAAAACAGGCAAAAATCAGTCTGATACAAAAGACAGGCTCGCTGATCAATGCTCTACAACAACCTTTCAAAGAACTAACCAGTCTCGTGTCTGTAGCTCTAGACGAACCTCTTTCCTCGAGATCGGAAGAAGAGAAACGAAGAATTCGAGAATTAACAGCCCTCATACAAATCCTTTACGATTTAAAAGCAACCAGCTCATCAATTCAAAACACATTATCTTCCTCTTCAATCTCAGAACTTAAAACGCAATTTGTTCATCTGCTGGAATCCTTAATAAACGTAGATCAAGCCACAGAAAAGATTCTTCGTTTGACCCAAAAGGAGTTAGCACCAGCACTGAAAGAAAACGTAATGGTATCCTTGCAAATACTTTCAGAACCTCTAAAATCTCTTCAACGTGAACTCTCTTCTATCCAAGAAGCAACTTCTCAGCTTCCTACAGATTGTATTCCACTACGTGGAAACGCACAAAATGTAAACGAAGCGATTTCTGAACTCGTAAAGGTCATTCAACAGACTGCTGAAACGAAGAGTATGAAAGTGGTCGAAGAAATCAAAGTGATGACGAAAACGAAAGAAGAAAATTTGGATATCGAGGAAACCACAGCGAAACCTCTCGAAGAACTGATAGAAGTCCTCATGGTCTCTCAAGAACAAATGAAACCAGAGGATGCCTCGTCACTTGGTTCTGCTCCGCCTTCGATAGAATCAGCTGAATTAACCAAACAACAAAAATTAGAAGCAGATATCGCGAAGAAGATAGTCAGTCCAATACAAAATCTTCGTGAAGCGATTGCAAAGATCGAGGAAGAGAAATTGGAAGAAACTGAACAATTGGATTTGCCTACAAAGACAGCTGCAATTATCTTGAGTACTATTATTGATCCTTTGGAAAAATTGAAACAATCTTTGGATATCTCTTCTCAGCAACAAACTGTAGAACATGAAGAAATTACGGAAGAAACACAATCAAACGTTCCATTTTTGCAATCGCTACCAGTAGCCAATATTCTAGAAGAATTGGAGAGGTCCATCGCCGCAATTCAAGAAGAAATGATCCTCGAAGCGAATGAAGAAATGAACGAATTAGAGGATAAGGCGTTAATTGTAAAAGAAATTGACAAATCGCTAGAAAATCTCAAATTGTCAATCGGTGCGGTGCAAAAAATAGTAACATTTGAAACTGAAAGGGCAGGAACATTTTCCAATATAGAAGAGACACCGGCAGTCGAAACATTCATTGAATCGGTGAATGAATTAAGAGAAAAATGTACAGCGATTGTTAGTTCTCCTCCAGTAAAGATAGAATCTCCAGAAAAAATTCGAAAAGAAGAATTGGAGCAAGTTTTAGAAATGATGAGTCAGCCTATTCAACTCTTGCGTGAAACAGCTTCTAAGATTGAAGAACAGAAGACTGATGAGGTACGAGCTTTAGATGAAACAAGCAAAAACGTAGTAGAAGCTTTGAAACCTCTGGTGCATCCTTTAGAAGAATTGGAACAATTATTATGCACAGCAATTCAACAAATTCATCCTTCGAAAGATGAAAAGACTGAAGAAATAAAGAGTACTACTTTACCTACGGAGCAATTAAAGGTTAGTCCTGTATTGGAAGAACTGCAGAAATCAATTGTTATGATAGAAGAACAGATAGCTGTACAACCGAAGAAACTTGATGTGTCCACTAAAAAAGTGGAAGCTTCTGTTGCCGAATTGATAGAAAGTCCATTAAAAACTCTTAAATCTGCTGTGACAGCCATTCAAACACTTGAGGCAGAAGAAACCAAAGAATTAACCAGTGAAGAGAAAACAACAGCCCTGAAAACGCTTGCCAAGTGTGTGGAAAAGATAGCAAATGTGTCTTCGGTGATTTCTAGTCAACAAAAAGTTGAAATTAGTACTCTGCAACAGCCACAAGTTGCTAAAATAGATATACAAGAGTTTGGACAGCAAGCTCTCGATAATATAGCAAGTCCAATTCAAATTTTACGTGAGACCATTTCCAAACTTGACGAACAACAGGCACAAGAGACTGAAACTTTAATTATGTCAGAAACGAAAGAAATCGCTGGTGTTTTACATACGTTGGTCGAACCTTTGGAACAATTAGAAAAATCTTTGTCAGTGGCTGTTCAAGAGACGAGCATCGTTAAAGACGAATCTACATCAGACTTGGAGGATGTCCAATCCTCTATGAAGTTGAATGTCGGGCCTGTTTTACAGCAGTTAGAAAAGTCTATTGGTGTAATTCAAGAACAAGTTTCTTTGGAACCTACTAAGGAAGAATCGAAAGATAAATTGGTGGGTTCTGTCGCGAAGACTATAGAAGAACCCTTGGAACAAATGAAATCTTCAGTAGCAGCTATTAAGGAGATAATATTGGAGACTGAACAAACGGGTAATTTATCAGACGTAGACAAAACTTCAATTCTAAAATCGTTCGCAAAATCTGTGGAAGAAATCGGTGAAAAGTGTTTAGCTGTAATTTCCCAGCAACAGATTGGCATACAACTAGTCCCCAAAAAAATAAAAGAGTCTCAAGTGGAGATACTAGACATGGCTGTCAGTCCTCTTCAACTACTTAGGGAAACTATTATCAAAATCGAAGAAGAAAAATTGCAACAAGTGGAAGCTCTCGATTCTTCTAAAATGGCTGCATCAGAAAGTGCTTTGAAGATCCTGGTAGAACCATTACAAAGATTAGAAACTTCGCTATCTTCCACTGTTCAACAGGCAATCTCGATGGAACTCAACAAAATTGAGGAAATATCTCAAGCAGCTCCACCTTTGCAAAAACTGGCTATTCAACCTATCGTGGAAGAACTTCAGAAATGCGTAGCATCGGTACAAGAACAAGTAAAATTGCAAACAGTGGCAGAGCACTCCATTGAGGAGGCTTCTATCATGCAAGCCACGGAAAAATCGCTGGAAGACTTGAATTCTTCTCTCGCGATCATTCAGAGTGTGGTATCCACTGAACCAGGCGTAGAAGAAACACTGTCGGAGACAGAGAAGGTGACAGCGCTGCGACACTTCGCGAAATCGGTGCAAGAACTAGAAGAATGCATGGCTATGGTCAGTCAGCATCAAGTGGACGCGAAGGAGACAGTGATGGAGTCGATGGAAGCTGAAAAACTAGAGATACGAGTTCTCGAGACGATTATCGTGCCGATTCACACGCTGCACGAGACTATTATGAAGATACAGGAAGACAGCACTGAAGAAATTGGCACGTTAGAATTGCAAAAAGGGAATGTGCAAACTTTGACTCCTTTAATGCATCCTCTACAACAGTTAGAAAGATCTTTGGTGAACATGGTTCAACAAGCAAGTGACCAGAAACTTGAATCCGTGGAACAAATTCAAAGAGAAACTCCACAGACTATTGTCCTTCGACCAATTTTGCAAGAATTAAAAGAAAGCATTGTTAATATTCAAGAACAGTTAGCTACGAGCTTTGAAGAATCTTCAAAATTAGAGACTGCGAAGGATTTAAATAAAGCACTTGAAGAACTAGAAACAGCTACTATCGCTGTTCAACATGTATTCACGCTTTCTTCGGAAGAGACTGAAGAAATAAAGACTCAGAAGAAATCTGCCTTGGAAGCTTTCGCTAAATCGATAGAGCAGTTAGAAGAAAGATGTTCAGCAGTGATAAGTCAGAAGAAAGTAGAAAAGAAGTTGGAAGAAGCTGAGAAGCAACAAGCAAAGATGGTGGATGTTGAAATTCTTCAGAAGATAAGTAATACGGTTCATGTTCTACGCGAGTCGCTTTCTCACATTGAAGAAGAGAAAATGCAGCAGGTAGAAGAATTGAAAATCCCTAAAGAGAAAACTAATGTGAAATTAAATGTTCTTATAGAACCATTGAATATATTGGAACAAGCTTTACAGACTGCATTGCTAGAAGGTAAAGTGCTAGAAGAAGAGACTACAAAGGAGTTGAAGAAGAGTGAAATTCCTGTTGATAAATTAAATTTACAACCTGTATTGGAAGAATTCCAGAAATCCATCATTACTATTCAACAGCAAACGAGTGAAACCGCGACAATTTCAGGAGAAGTTAGTGAAGTTAGCATGATGCTAGCAGCAGAGAAGTCTTTAGAACAGATGAAATTGTCTGTGGCAGCTGTTCAGGAAATAACAATTGCTCAGCAAGATCAAACAAAAGAATTGAGGACAGGTGAAGAAAAGTCTCGATTGGAAGCTTTTGCACGATCGATGGAAGAAACTGGAGAAAAACTGTTAGCTGCAGTCAAACAATACGAAGTGAAGAAATCTGAAGAAGTTCCGGCGAAGAACAAAGTGGTCGAAGATTTTGTAAAAACTGTCATTGAACCTATTAACGAGCTGCAAACTACAATTTTGAATATAGACAAACAAAGTGAAATATTGGGGAAGAAGAAAGAAGAAGAAGTTGTACTCTTCTTGAGCATGGTGCAACCATTGCACAAACTCGAAGAATCGTTCTTATCAGCCATGCAGCAAGAAGCAGTAACAAAATACGAAACTGTCAAAGAAATTTCTCAAGCAATTCCAGCTTTACAAGAATTACCAATTAAATTGACATTAGAAGAACTTAACAAAAACGTGGCAGAAATTCAGAAGCAACTGGTTTTTGCCAAGGAAACTTTAAGTTTAACAGGAGATACTGAAGACTTTGCTGTAATAAAAAATCTAGAAAGATCATTAAGTGATTTAAGAACGTCCGTAGCTGTGGTGCAACAATTGACAACTATAGAAAAACCTGGCGAACAAATTCTAGACGTCGAAAACGCGTCTGCGTTGCAAGCATTTGGAAAAGCTGTGGAAGAGTTCAGAAAACAATGTTCTGCGACTATCTCAAAACCAAAAGTGATTGCTACAATTATAGGAACGATTCAATTAGAGACACCACAGAAACTTGAAGCTCAAATTTCAGAAACAGTTACTGTTCCTGCCAAGTTATTACAAGAATCCATTTCGACTATGGCAGAGATTAAGCTTCAAGAAGCTGAAATATTGGAAACATCGGATACGAAGAAACCTATGACGATATTAACCGAACTTATCCCACCGTTGCAACGATTAGAACAATGTTTCGTTGCTGCGATTCAAGGAGAACATGTGATAGAGCACGATACGAAGAGTTTAGAAACTGATAAGGTATCATTTGAAAAGACAACTTTAAAACCAATACTCGAGGAGTTCCAGAAATCAATCGCAGTGATTGAAGAGCATATGATGGTAGAAGAGGGCATGCAAAGTATGTCAGAGACTGGCAATGCTTCTCAATTGAAGACAATGGCATGGACGTTGACAGACTTAAGAACTTCTGTGGCTGCTATTCAACGGGCCGTTGAATTTGCTCCAGAATTTTCAGAAGAATTCTCTAAAACTGAAAGTGTCGCGGCATTTGAAACATTTGCAAAGACTCTTCACGATTTAGTAAAACGTGCTGCCACTATCGATCAACAACAGATAATTATCGAACCAGCAGCAGATACTATCTCAGAAGAAGCCTCGTCTTTGAAGACTTGGGCGGATGTTGTTGAAGAAACAAATGTTCAAGTCACAGAACCGATGATTGTGGATCAAGGTACCGTAGAATCGCCCTCAGAAATGGCTCTTTCAATTTCTGAAGAAGAAACACAAACTTTGAAGAGTTTGGCTAAGCCGCTCAGTGAGTTAAAAGAGTGTCTGGCGATAATCGTCGAAGAAAGAAAATCAATGGACGCGAATGAGATTGCTCTGACGTTATCCGAAAGAGAGGACATTTCTTTATTGAAGGCTATGGCACAGCCTTTATTAGAACTAAAAAACGTAGCTGTGTCTGTTATCAACGAGCAAACAGCCATTGAATCTGCGAAAGAGAAATCTTTTGATAGTGGGGGAAAGCCAGAAACTACACTAAATCCATTAATTGAACCTTTAGAAGAACTTTGCAATTCGATTGCATTAATCGAAGATCGCATATTGGTTGAATCTGTGGAAGATCGACCAGTTGATGAGGTGTCTTTGTTATCTGCTTTAGCTGAGCCCTTGATAATTCTGCACCGAAGCATTTCTGTACTTGAAGAACGAGTGATGTCTCCTGAAGTGGAACCAATGCCAGAAGAATCGAGTCATTGGATCACAGAATGTTTGGCAGTTCCTCTACAAGAAATAGAAAGATCTATTGCTGAGATTCGAGAGTGCGTTGTGGTGGAACCTGAGCCTGGACTTATTGAAGAGATGTCGAGGATTGATACACCAGATTGGTCTGTCGTTGAGAAATTGGTGCAACCGGTGGAAGTTATAAAATCGACAATCATTGAAATGGAAGAAAATATTATTAAAAATACGAAAGCAGAGAAGGAAAATGAATATGAGATAGTGAAGACATTGGTGCAACCATTAGCTGACGTGCAGGAAAGCTTCCTAGTGCTGAAAAATAAGACTGATATGAGTATAGAGGAAGAAGAAGCTAGTATCGATGCTATTGTGGATTCATTATCTAATCTTGAGAAAAGTATATCGTTTATTGAAGAACAAGCTGCTGAAAAATTACAATTAGCCTCAAATATAACAGAAACTATAATTGGATACTTGGCTGAACCTCTGTTGCAACTGAAAGAGAAGATTATGACAGTGGAAGAATCTTCGACTGTATATCTTGAAAACTTGGAGAAACCGTTGAAAGGATTACAAGCTGCTTTGGAAGCTGTTCTGTCTGATCAACGTGAGGAAGTGCAAAAGCAGAAGAAAGAGAGTGTTATTTCTATGGAAGAAGTTACAAGAATATCGACGAAGTTGATTCACTCTATTAAAGAAGTAAACGATTCTATTGAGTCGATTGATAATAAGATAGAAAGTTACAAAGGTTTGCTAGGTCTAGAGATTCAGATTGAGAAGGAAGCTTTGAATATGTTGGCTAAGCCACTTAAACAACTTAAGCAGGGAATTCAAAGTGTTTTAGATAAACAAGAGATTGGAGAAGGGCCGATGGAATCATTGAAAATGCTTCGAAAGGCAATTGCGATTGTTAGAGAGCAATCTGCTGATAAACCTATAGCTGAACCCTCACATTTGGAGATTACGGAAATTTATGGCGTGTTAAAAACCTTGAACATAAGTTTGTATGAGCTGGAAGATTCTATCAAGAAGGTTGAAGCACTGTGGAAGGATAGTTTAAGCGGAGAAGGGATTGTGGAGCTCGAAACGCCTATTTTGAATTTGATGAATGATATAAACTTGCTTCGAGATAAATTGCTAAATGTACAGGTAGTGTGGGAGGAGGATAAAGAGAAAAAGAAAGGTAAGAAGAAAGAGAAAGAAGAAGTTGAAGAAGAAATGAAAATAATGGACAAGGACGAGGATGAACGTAAGAAGGAAGAGGAAGTTGACAAACAGAAACATAAAGAGGAAGAAAAGAAACGGGAGGAAGAACAACAGTTGAGAGAAGAGGAGGAGAAGAAGAAAACTGAGAAACTGAAGCAGGAGGAAGAGGAACGTAAGAAAAAGGAAGAAGCTGAAAAACTGAAGCAGGAGGAAGAGGAACGTAAGAAAAAGGAAGAAGCTGAAAAACTGAAGCAGGAGGAAGAGGAACGTAAGAAAAAGGAAGAAGCTGAAAAACTGAAGCAGGAGGAAGAGGAACGTAAGAAAAAGGAAGAAGCTGAAAAACTGAAGCAGGAGGAAGAGGAACGTAAGAAAAAGGAAGAAGCTGAAAAACTGAAGCAGGAGGAAGAGGAACGTAAGAAAAAGGAAGAAGCTGAAAAACTGAAGCAGGAGGAAGAGGAACGTAAGAAAAAGGAAGAAGCTGAAAAACTGAAGCAGGAGGAAGAGGAACGTAAGAAAAAGGAAGAAGCTGAAAAACTGAAGCAGGAGGAAGAGGAACGTAAGAAAAAGGAAGAAGCTGAAAAACTGAAGCAGGAGGAAGAGGAACGTAAGAAAAAGGAAGAAGCTGAAAAACTGAAGCAGGAGGAAGAGGAACGTAAGAAAAAGGAAGAAGCTGAAAAACTGAAGCAGGAGGAAGAGGAACGTAAGAAAAAGGAAGAAGCTGAGAAACTGAAGCAAGAGGAAGAGGAACGTAAGAAAAAGGAAGAAGCTGAGAAACTGAAGCAAGAAGAAGAGGAACGTAAGAAAAAGGAAGAGGCTGAGATATTGAAACAAAAAGAGGAAGAACGCAAGCAGAAAGAAGCTGATAAATTAAAGCAAGAAGAGGAACGTAAAAAGAAAGAAGAGGCTGAGAAATTAAAGCAAGAAGAGGAACGTAAAAAGAAAG